GTGGTATTATCATATTTACCATACTGTTAAGAAATCTGCATGAATATATTCTGTGAAGATATGTTTCTATATACATATATTGTTATTCTAGAAATATTATAATTTTATCCTTATAGTTCATTTGGTGATAGTCCTTAGTTCTTTTTAAGGTATGAGAGAATGGTTCATTTCCCTTTTCCATTTGCAGGTTAGGTTTCTAGCATCATTTGTTAAATAGACTTAAATTGACCACATACGTGTGGGCATATTTCTGGACACACTGTTCTGCTCCATTTGCTTAGTCCCATGCCAGGACCACACTGTACATTGATCTCTACAGCTCCACAATGAATCTTGAAATCCCACAGTGGAAGTTATGGAACTTGCTTCTTTCTCAGGATATTTTGGATCTTTTGTTTATTTGTTGATTGTATTTCCATATAAGTTTTAGAATCAGTTTTTCAGTTTCTTTTCTAGAAAGATTAGTGGAGTCATGATTGTAATTGCATTGAAGCACAGATTTATTTGAAAGCAACTAACATTAGCGATACTGAGTCTTCCAATCTATGAATTATGTATTTCCACTTATTTAGACCAGTAGTGTTTTGTAGTGTTTAGCAGAGTAGGTCTTGCTTGTCTTTTGATTATGCATTTCTAGGTATTGCTTTTTCTTTGACACTATTGCAAATGGACTGGCTTTTCAAATTCCGCCTTAAAATCATATATTACGAGTGTGTGGGAATTTCATTGAATCCTAACTAGTGACTTGTCACGTCCTGTGGCCTTGCTGACACATATATATTCTAGTAATTAATTTGGAGATAGGATTTGCTGTGTTGCCAACCAGGCTATCTGAGAATAGCATTAATTTTAATTCTTCCTTTTCAACTTGAATAACCATTATTTTATTTTCTTACCTTATTGTGTTGGCCAAGACCTCCAGGACAATATTGAAGAAGCGTGAGATTATATGTTGTAGCCTCTCCCCTCTTCTCTCCCCAGCTCGTTCCCTCCCCCACCCGTGCTTATTACTACATGTGAGTAATGCGGAATAGTGAGGTGCATTGTGGGAATTGGTACGTGCATATAACGTGTGTTGGTAATTTCTATCCCCTTGCTTCCCTCTTTCCTCCCCCTTCTGTCCCCTTCCCCATCCCTCAAAGCCTGCTTTGTAATTTCCTGTCATCATCCATTCATTCCTTTATTTATATTTCAGATTTCCCATAGGAGAAAACGTGCAATACTTAACTTTCTGAGTCTCTCTCATTTTGCTTAACATAGTGGTTTCCTTCAATTTTCCTGCAAGTGGCAGGACTTTATTTTTCTTTATGGCTGAGTAACATTCACATTTTTCTCTATCCATGCTGTTGACAGGCATCTAGGCTGTTTCCACAGCTTAGCTATTGCGAATGGTGCTGTCATAAATGTGAGTGTGCGTGTATTGCTGTCATAGCCTGTCTTAATTTCATACATTTTAATTTTTTCATCTCACAGCTCAGAAAAGTCTTGTTTTTCTATCTGAAATATGCATCTTCCACTTAATGTCATCTATCGCAGCATTATATTTAATTCCTCGATGCATTTACCATAAGTCGTATTTGCTGTGTGTCTCCTACACTGCTCTGTGTTTCTCTGGACTAAAAAGCAGCCTTTGTCTTACGTCTGTGGTGTGCAGTCCAGGAGCTCTTAGCGGACACTCAGAAGTGTTTTATAGAATCGGTCAGTATTGATAGGAAATCTTAGTAGTTACACAGTTCATATTTTCAGTGTTTTCCTCTCCTGAGCAAAACTGAGGATAAATATTATTTCTTGCAAAATACATTTCTCTTTCTCACTTTCTAATTTTTTAAAAGGAGGTCAGGATTCAGAGTGTTTTATAGAATCTACATACATTTAATGCTTTCAAAAGCCCTTAACATACAGTATTTTTAAAAAGCAGTATAATTCTTTGCACTAGTTTTTGTAAAATGCTGAAGTAGCATCAGGTATATAGAGCACTAGTACAGTGCCCGCCTGGCAAGCACAAGATCCTGAGTTCGATTCTCAGAACCTAAATAAATAAATAAGTTTCTGTAGTGGGATAGCTTGCCATTCCCAAGTGTCATATACAACCAGAAAATTTTTACTGGTTTAATTTTAGAAACAAGACAAAGTCATTCCACAATTATTTAGTAAGCAGGTGCTGAGTCACTATTTTTATTTTTTTAAATATGGAAATATTTTAATGAAGTGAACTTGTTACATGAAGTACAGCGTACTTTGGCTTATCAACTTAATTTCTTTCGTGATTTGGGGAAAGATGGCTGTGTGTGTGCTTGTGTTGGTGTGGGGAAGATGGCGGAGGTCATGTTTGTCACCTGATGTAGAGTTTGTGAAGGGAAACAAAATTAAGATGAACACTTTTGTTTGTAAACTAAATTGTTTGCAAAAAGAAGTGTTCATAAACCAAAGTATTACAGTATTCTGTAATTTTTGCCCTTTTGTTTTTGCTCTAATTTGCTCATTATGTAATTTAAAATTGATGAAGGTAAATTACTTCCAGCCTGGAACACAGGAATCTAGGATTTATTGAAAGGGCAAAGTATCTTTCTTTTTGCTCCATTTAAACAGATTCATTTAAATAACTGGTACAAGGTAAAGCTTCACTTTCTGTACCAATGTGATGAAAATGCAATTTTGTTTTCCGATTGTATATTAAAATAATTTGTCGGCTTATTCCACAACTTAATGTTGGAAATTGTGTTAAAGAAATAGATGAAGGGACCAGGGAGATGGATTAGTGAAATAAATGCATCCCTGGCAAGCGCAAGGGCCTGAGTTCAATCCCCAGTTCCGCCAAAAAAAAAAAAAAAAAAAAAAAAAGTAGATGAAAACATTCTGAGTTGAATGATCATTTATTCATTTATTCAACACCCCCACTTCCCTGGTCCCCCTTGAATCTACCCTCTTCCTTTCTCCCTTCTTCCTTCTATCTTTTGGTCCTTCCACCTGTCATAGTCTATGGTTGTTCTTATTGCTGCAGACATGGTATAGAACGCAACATGATGGCTCTTCATTTGCAGCCAACATTGTGGTGGGGAAGTAGACAGCAAAGAAGTAAATGTGATAGTGAGTTTTGGTGGTGTGTTGTACACAAAGATGTGTGTGAGAGAGTCTGTGTGTATGAGTGTGAGTCTGGTGTGTGGATGTGTGAGTCTGTGGTGTATGTGTATGTGTATGTGTATGTGAGAGACACACAGACAGACAGACACACAGACAGACGAGTGAGCAAAAGAGCATAAGATTCAGAAAGGCCTCATTAAAGGAGGATTAAGCAAAGCTGGTCAAGCCCAGCAGGTCCAGGACAGGAATGTTCTAGAAATGAGGGAATAACAGTAAGAAATTCAAAGAAGGCACAGTGCTTGGGGCTAGAGGAACTAGAGTGTGGCTCACGGGAAGTGATGAGCCCAGGGAGAGCGCTGTGGGCTAAGGCTGGAGAACATCCCCACTAGATCCCAGGGACACCGTGGGCTGTGGCAGGTGTCCCAATTTCACTCCAAATTCAGACAAAAACAAGGGGTCCATTGTGTGGTTCTTTCACTCTGTCATTTAGATGTTTCAAGAACATATCTGGTATGATGAACATACCCAAGTCCAAATTCTCACTTCAACTTTCTCTTCCAAAGATAAAAAAAGAAATACACAACCCAAACCTGGCAACATCGGAAGAAAGATAAACACATCTCCTATTACAGGTGGAGATTTCAGTATTTAGCTGGGTGACAGGGAAGTACACAGCCAGACAGCTAGTCAGAGCTCAGAGGGTAGGTGAGGGTTAACTGTGTTGTACTCTTCAATGAAACTTGCACCCTTCGAGAGCAGAACAATGCGGGTCTGAAAATCAAACTTCAGTAAATGTAAAAGTTTTGACATACTGAATATGTTCCCTGACTAAGCAGGGTTAAATAGAATCAGTATCCGTGGTAGTATTAGTGAAAATCTTGTCACAGTTGCTTCTTTTTTCTCAGACTATACCTGGAGAATTCTCATACACCTTTTCCCTACATTTTAGACTTTGTATAACTCTTTCTTCAGTTCTCTTCTGTGGCTTCTGCTTTTATTAACTGTCCTTTACTTGCCTTGACTTCCTATAGTTTTGCAGTTTTTGCTGTGTACTAGGATCCTGGTATTAACTTGCTCTGTTCATTCATTCACTTAGGCCCGACATGTGGAACATTTTGCTTGCATTGGGATATGAGGCTTGCACAGGGTGGAAAGCTTAACCAGACAATTAAAGAGTGGTGAATATTTAGGCAGAGGGATATTGGAAGAGCTGTGGAATCAAATATTCATTCAATAAATATTTATCAACCTCATGTGTACTATGATTGTACAGTCTCATCAAAGTCAGCTATACAGAGAAAAGTGGTACTTGGATTCTGCTGTGAGGGCTGAGTTAGGAGTCTTCAAGCTATGGAAGAGGGGTTGGTATTCCAGAGGCAGGCATTGTCTCCAGGTGAAGCGTGGTGTCATGAAAGAGCAAAGAAGGACACAGGAGTGAGCAGCCTGCCCTGGCTGAGGTGTTCGGTGGGGTGCTATGTAGTGAAGGCAAGAGAAGGATCTAGAAAGATCATGAGTATTCTTCTCTCTGCTTAGAAAGCTCAGCCCTGTTTCCTCAGGCACTGCATTTGTGAGCCTATTACATCACTCACCAGCCTTTCTGCATTCCCAGTCTTCTTTCTCTTTTGGTCATTATTCTTTGGTTGCCATCTACTGCAGTGACCAAGGGTTCCATGTGGTGGTGACCATGAGCAAGTGCTGCTGATGGCACATTTTCAAAACAGTCTTCTGAGCAGAGAAGGGGCCCAGTGCTGTAAGCCAGGATGTAGTGCTCTCATGCCCAAAGCCATTAGGTTTCATGGGCCTCTTGAAATCCTGGCGTGGAAGAGGTTGAAGTATAAACTCATTGATTTTTAAGGCATCCTGTGGGGTAAAATTTCAATTTATTGCCCATCCTGAACTTTTTTATTCTTTTCCTTTAGGTTTCTTGCTATTTAAAGATTTTTGTTTGAATGAAATTAATGAAGCTGTACCTCAGGTGAAGTTTTATGAAGAGGTAAGAAGTAACTTTTCCTGAGCTTTTATTTCGAAAAGCATATTCTAATGTTGCTTTGGGAAATATTAAGGCTATAAAACATCTTCCACATATTTAGAAACTCATTTCAAGTAATTAGCAGTACAAAATGTAATATGTAATTTATCTGAGATACTGACAAGAGCTACAAAGGGCCAGGTATGTTATTAAAACCATATTCCTAAAGGATTTGTCATATAGCGGGAGCAATGAGGAACAGTTGAGTTGAATTTCCAGAGACAGGATCCTTTAGAAGTGTACTGAGGCTTACCAGCTACTTCATCCCCTGTGAGGGCTGATTCTGGACATGTGCACCACAGCCCAGGGCTGCCCCTGAGTCTGAGAGAGAAGTTAGCAGAGATTTCTGGTCATACTGGAGTAACCAGTTACAAATGGGATGGGAGGATCTCCAATGCACAACTGGTGAAGTCTGCAGCTAGAGAGGGGCTGAATTGATAGGGCAGGAGTTTTTAAAAGGCAGAAAGTCAGCTGTACAGAACAAAGTGGACTTAAAAACTACACAGCTTCTAGAGACAGAAATATGAAAACAACAGGCAAGAAAGGACAGTCCTCAGGGAGTAATCTGCTGACAGCTGCTTGCTAGCTGGACGGCTGTTGACTCACAAAGCATTGGGCAGAAGGGAATTCTGGTACAAGAGAATTCAGGCTTGGCGCTGGGAGTTACTTCTGGGAGATAGAAAGGCCAGAAGAGATTTCTGGAACTAAACTAAAAAACACATGGAACTGGCTGTTTTGGTGCATGCATGTAATCCCAGCACTCTGGGAGGCTGAAGCGAGTTTGAGTCCAGCCTGGGGTTGTGAGACTCTCTCACAAAATAAAAAATACCAAAAAGGGTAGAGGATGTAGCTCAGTGCAAAGTCCTCTGGGTTCAGTCCCCTTTATGGCTCAGTCATTTCATCAGTCAATCAAACAGGACTGGAGGGATCCCAGACGGGTGGTTAGTTTCAGTCCAAGACATGTGCTAAGGTCTGAAGCTGAGTGGGATGGGGGACCAAGAGATAAGTTAGAAAGTTCTCCAGGAAAGAACTGAACATAATGCTGAGGAGACAAAGCACTCTCAACTGAGCTCCATGATGGATCATGATATACAAAGGGACAAACCAGAGATTGGTTGAGGCCTACAAAAACACAGCAACCCAGGCCCAGCCTGGCTCAGTCTTGTGTTGACTGATGAACCCTCTTCCCTCCTGCCCAACAGAGAGTAAAGGGAACCCACTGTCTTCTCTGAAGATATAAGATAACAATACATAAAGACTTTACCATGCTAAGTACACAACAGAAAATCACTAGACTTGCTATTAGGTAAGATGTCTGAGTGCTAAGTAAGATGATAAAGACCTTTCAGAAGAGCTGGGTACTTGAGGTAATTATCAAGTACTTTAAAATAACTATGAGCAATATGTTCAGTAAAAGATGGAGAAATAGATCTCAGCATAATTTAAATTTATTATGAAGAGTTGACTGGGCATTCTAGAACAGAAACTACAGTATTTGAAGTTGGAACTTAATGGTTAGGTAAAACACAAGCTAAGATAGTACATAGGAAGACAGGTCAGTGGACAGCTTCAGACTGAAGCACAGAAAGAGAAAAAGAAATAGATTTAAAAAATTAAAGATATGCAAGACATGTTTAAAGCCCTAGTACATGCAGAATTGGAGTTTCAGCAAATGAAAAGAGAAAATAGTGTAGAAGCAATAACTGAAGAGACAGTATTAAAAATTTTACAACATGGTGAAAGACAGATACTTATCGACTCAAAAAAACTTAGACCCCACTCCTACCATTCATCACTAGATGGAATGAATTCAAAGGACAGGTGTCTGTGCACATCAGTGTGAGGCTATAGGAACTTAGAACAGAGAAAATCTGAAGGGGTGCCAAGGGAGCCACATTACTGTTAAAGGAGCAGCAGCTAGACCAACTGTGACACTAAAGAGAAATGCCGGGGGCAGGACAGGCAATGAGATGGCCATCTTTAGAGTACTGAAAGAAGAATCTTCCAGCCTAGAATGATATTCCTAGTCAACTTTTCCCTTAAAAGGGAAAGAGAAATAAGAGATATTCAGATAAAACAATAATAAAACCCAAACAAATAAAAATATGAGAGAATTTTTCAGTAGTGGACCAATATTACTATGTAGTTGAGATGCAGGAAGATGCTTTAAGCAGACCAGAAGTGATCCTGATGGCTATGCAGAAAGGAAAGATGAGCAACACGGGTGAATCTGCATGTGAAATGTAAGGGAACAGTGAGGATTCAAAGCAATGACGTGTCTCTAGAGTTTATAGTGTACATAGCACCAGAATGCAGGACAGTCACACAAAAGGCCAAAGAGGACTATGAAGATAAAGTATTTTAAAGTCCTAGGATAATTGGTGGGAGAAGTGAAAGTAATGATTTGCATTGAACTGTACTCAGTATCCCTAATAAGCTAAATGAGAAACGTAGGATAAAAAACCATTTAGTTGATCAAAAAGAGGTAATATAGGAATAAAAGGACCTAACGTTGATCAGCCAAGTTGAAAATAGAATGAGTAGGATGACAGCTTAAATCCAGTTACATTTAATGTCAATGGACTAAATACACCCATGTAAAAGTGAGTTTTTCAGGCGGAATTGAAAAATGAAGCCCTATTATATACCACTTATAAACAAAATACTTACATGGAAGAAAGGATAGATAATGTGTGCTGTAATATACACACTATATGGACACTAATCAGATGAACTACCTGATCATGCTACTTCGAAATAAAGAGAGGTATTCTCAATGATAAAAGGGTTGATCCAGCAGCTCTCCCAAACTTAAATCTGTATATTGCAAATAACACAACTTTAAAATGTATAATGCAAACATAAGCAGAAACAAAACAAATCCACAACTATTAAATAGTACAACACTCCCTTCAAGGGCTTAAAAGAAACAAAATCTTTCGTACAGATTAAGAATCTCTTAATAAATTAGTGAATAACTTGACATATATAAAAGCTGTACCCAGAAAAGTGGGATTTACATTCTTTGAATCACGTGCAGAATATTTTTCAAAGTAGATCATGTGTTGGTTCCTTTAGAAATTTATAAATTTCAGGATTGATATTGTGCAGACTGCCTTTTCTGACCACAATAAAATTAAGCTCCAAGAAACCTTCACATACCTGGAAAACAGTACACCTTAAAATAATTATAGAATAAAGTAATTAAAATAGAACTAGGAAATACTTAAAATATGTTTAATAAATGATGTGTGTTATTATTAATATAGTGTACTTTTACCCTAAATCGTTTAAATGATCCACAGAAAATGTCACATAGTTACACCTATAGTCTTTGTGCACATTGGAAACTAGAGAAATTCCTTTCTTTCTAGCTTTTTAGAGATATAGACATAGATATGAAAATGTCATGTTTTTCCGTACTTTAAAAACATTATATTAATGTATTTTCAGAAAAAGTAGTCAAATTATGTGTTCATTTGGCATCATCTGAAAAAGTACTGTGAGCCCCAAAAAAGCTTACTTGGTATGAAGTTAATCTTATTATTTGCATCTGAATCATAACCAGGCATTTTATGTAGAGAAGAATCACAGCTTGATCTGTCAATTTTTGGGGGGCCAGGGATGTAGCTTAGTGGCACAGTGCCTGCCTAGCAAGCGGGAAGCCCAGAGTTCGATTCCTGGTACCAAAAAAGAAAATAGTAAAAATAAGACCAAAAAAAAAAAAAAGTCCCTTTGATCTGTCATTTTTTTTTTTCTTTCCTGTGTTCCTAAAAGCTTTACCCCTCCAATTTCAACATGAACTAAGTCACCTTGTCAAGTAGTGAAAACTGTCCTTAGCAGGTAACTGGGTAGAATCGATGGGCTATCGCGTGCCAACTTCTTCCACACTTCCTTTGAGCGTGCTGGTGACTGTTGTTTGGCTGCATCTGTCTGAACTTTAAGCACTGGTGTTTCTCCTTGCTGGCTCCTCGCATCTCTTCTCACCCCTCTTCTGATTTGGCCTGTGGTGGACCTGGTTTGTCAGATGACTCCCTGGGAGCATGCTCTGCAGCTCCTTGGCAGCTTTCCTCTGTTCTTTAGAAGATGCCATCTGTCCTTGGGCAACTCTCTCAATGACCACAACCCTGAAACGTTGACGTTCCCAGTGATTCTTTGTTAGCCCCTAGCTTTTGTCACTGTAGTGGATTCTTCTTTAATTTCTGCTTGTTTCTTACCCATTTTTAGATTCTGCTACTGCTCTCTTGATGTAGTACATTTTGTAGTTATATCTCTACTTCCCGAGTCCGCAGACCTGTTACAGTACACTCCCTCTTCCTAGTGAGAACCCTAGTTGCTTATTACAGCACTTAGCTATCTCGTATGTGACTTGTTGTCTCCCTTCCTTCTTTCTGTCTCACATCGTCCAACATAGAACTTCCACTCCAGCCAGACCCGACCAGCCAGTGTTCCCTGAACCTCCCAGCCTTTGTTATTATCATTGCGCAGTGTGTCATCCCTTCCCACCCTGGGATGCTACAGATTTTTCCAGCTCTTGAGAGCCAAGTTGCCTTTCAGGGCTAGCTCAGCAGAGGTCTCAGGACCCTCTTCCATGCTGGTGTTCCAGCATGGTGTGCATCCTCCTCTAACTCACAGTTTGTGGTTTGTGCTGTCCTGTCTTGTGCACTTAGCACTTGCTTCTTGTTATGTCACCCATTACTGGATGTGTCAACAGAAGGCCTCACTGGGGCGCAACTGCAGCTGTGCCTGTCTACATAATAGGATACTGGCGAGTACCTTGGCCACCCTAAAGCCTCTCTCTGTTTCAGACCTTGTGAACACCAGTGTCCTACCAAGCATTGTTTGAACAAATGAGAAATAAAGTCCTTACTCTCTTTGAACTTATGTTCTGGTCAAGAGATGTAGAGAGTACACACAGGGACTAATTTGGAAGTGAAAACTGTTGAGCAGCAACTCAGCTTGGT